ACTCGGTCGCCTCTAAAACAAACGTGTTTGTTTTCAGTTCCAGACGACCGAGTCGGGCGATCAGCCCTATCCAGCCGTAGTGGGGCACCCCGTGTTAGGCTGCCGAACTCGTCATCCTGAGATTGCAGTTTTGAGGGTTCGAGATCCAGTTCTCTTTACGCTATATATTTTTTTTTCTCATTTGCCTCGGTCCGAAAGGAGTTCCGCAGAGGATCGGCCAACCAACAGCGCCAAACTCTAACCTTAACCTTAACCCAAACCCTAACCTTAACCAGAACCCTAATCCTAAACCCTAAGCCTAACCTTAACCCTAACCATAACCCTAACCCTAACCATAACCCTAACCCAAACCTTATCCCTAACCCAAACCCAAATTCTAACTCTAACCTTAACCTTAACCTTATCCTTAACCCTAACCCTAACCCTAACCCTAACCCTAACCCTAACTCTTGAATAGTTTGCTCAGTGGAGCTTGTCACGGCCCTCCGCAGAACCCCTCCTCTCGGTCCTATGTGGGAGATGGGCGTTAAATTCGGAAGTCCTACCTCTTACAAACTAAACTAGTCAACAAAAATTAAGGAACATTTGAGAAAAAGTGTATAACTTCAAAAGCAAACTTCAACATGCAATGACATTTTGTACACATTTTAATCAACATGTGTATAGCAAGTAACAGAAAAGAAAATTAAGTTATTCCATTTTAACTTGCTTGAAAAGTTAATTGAGTTAGGTAGGGGTTAAAATCCCAAATCCCAAAATTGTCAAGTAGTTTCGAAGTTATTTTAACTTCTGACTACAACAAAAATAAAACAGTTCAGATGATTTCAATACTGAGTATGCCCACCACGATCGTCCTGGCACTCAGTACACCGGCTCCTCATCGAGTTCGTGAGGTTGGTGAACACTCTCTGGGGCATCCCCTGCCACTTTGCCTGCAGCATCTGAAACAGTTGCTGCGCGTCTCCTGGAGGGGGATGGTTGTCTCTGACTCGAAGTTGCAGCTCATCCCAGAGGTTTTCTATGGAATTCAAGTCCGGACTGCAGACCGGCCAGTCCATTAGGTTAATGCCAGTCAGCTGCATGAAGTTTTGGACAAGCAACGCTCTATGAGGTCCGGCGTTGTCATCCTGGTACACCGCTTGTGGTCCCATCTGCTGCAGAGTAGGTAGTGCTAATGGACGGAGTATCTCATCTCGGGAACGTATTGCAGTGAGATTCCCTTGCACATGGTACAGAAGTACAGTGGTTCAGACTGAAAGCACCCCATACCATCACGGAACCACTTCCAAAAGGCATCACTTCTCTGACGGCTCCATCGAGGAGCCACTCTCCGGGTCGCCTCCAAACCCTGATACGACCGTCATTGTAATGCAAAGAGAACCGAGACTCGTCGCGGAAGAGAACGTTTGCCCACTGTTGACGTGTCCATCTTACATGGCTTCGGCAAAAGGCAAGATGAGCAGCCTTGTTTGCTGGGGTGAGACGCTGACGGACTTCTGGTCGACGTGCATTAAGTCCAAACTCATGAAGACGTCTTCGTACTGTCTGACAACTAATGTTAACACGAGCTGTGGCTCTCAGCCGTGTCTGGATTCGACTTGCAGGAGCGGATCTCGACTGCAGAGCCTGTCTATGAATGAATCGGTCTTCCCTTGCATTAGTGGCTCTTGGTCGACCTGATCTGGGTCGCTCTTGGGCACTACCAGTGGTGTTGGCACGCTGAATCAGCCGTGAAATGACAGAAACGGACACTGGAAGAAGTGTAGCAACTTGTCAGAGTGAAACACCATCTTGTACCCAAGCAATGGCTTGTCCTCTGTTTACATCAGACAATTTCTGTCGAGGAGGCATGTTTATGCTTAGCCCTACAGCAGCAGAATCGTGTATCCATAGTGCAAATGAGCGAGTGCAAGTCACTCACGAGACACGAATCTTGCATTTGAAAACTGATTTTTGAGCGTTCATAATTTTTCCTGACTGTTAGAGCGAGGGAATAAAAATCGATAATTGGAAAACATTGGACCTTTTTGTCCCCTCCCTAGCTCAGCGCACAGGAGTCACGTGCATTTCAAACCCTGGTGTGTACAATCCCATTAGTCATAGAGTAACATTTCACCAATATCTAGTTTATCTAGTTAAAGTAAAACCCCGAAAGAATGCATACAAATATATCACTGTTTTTACAGTACGTTCCTTAACTTTGTTCACTAGTTTATTAGTGTTACAAGGGGTCTCAAATCCATGAATTTCGCAAAACGTTTTTCCTTCTTACAATTCGAATACGATATGACGGATCTAGCGGGTCAGTTAACGTTAACGACAATCGTCCGAACCCCCTTCCCTCATCTAGGAGTTCAGGAAACCCCACATCACAAGAAAGTCTCCACTTTCCTAATAAAATAAAATATAAAATGTATATTATGTCTATTCCTGGGAATGCCTAATTTTCTTTCTAATTGAGTTCAAACGTGGATTATTTTTTTAAATTCGTTGTCAATAAGTAAGACTGAATCAACAATGCATTCATGTGTCTTTTTACCAGGGGATTTTCTTTTCTTTTTTCCCAACAGAGTCAGCTGTAACGATGTCTTTCACAAAGGGGCGGAACTCGTTGTTTGGACACTTGTATCGTGGTGAGAAATATTGGCTTTTCTGGTTGCAAATCTTCATTGTATTCTTTTCTGGTAAGTCAAAATAGTTCCGGAAAAAAACACTACTACTACTACTACTACTACTACTACTACTACTACTACTACTACTACTAC